CTGTATGTCTTCTTTGGAAAAATGTCTATCCAGGTTCTCTGCCCATTTTTAAATTAGATTATTTGGTTTGTGTGTGTGTGTGTGTGTGTGTGTGTGTGTGTGTGTGTGTGTGTAGAGTTGTACAAGTTCTTTATATATTTTAGATATTTACCCCTTATCAGATAGATTATTTACAAATAGCTTCTCCCATTCAGTGTGTTGTCTTTTCCTTTTGTTGATTATTTCCTTTCTGTGCAAAAGCTTTTTATTTTGGTGTAGTCCAAAATTTTCCTTCTGTTTCCCTTGCCTGAGGAGCATCATATCTAGAAAAGCGTTTTCTATGATGTTAAAGAAATTGCTATTTGTTTTCTTCTAGGATTGTTATGGTTTCAGGTACATTTATGTATTTAATCATTATTCAATTTATTTATGTGTATGGTGTAAGGATGTGGATGGTTCATCCACACACATCCAGATCAGTAGATACAGAAGATAGGGTGTGTGCATGTGTGTGTATGTATATGGCATATTGTTCAGTAGTAAAAAAGGATGAAATCCTGCCTTTTGCAGCAACACGGATGAATCCCTAGGGTACAGTGCTAAGTGAAATAAGAGAGAGAAATACTGTATGATTTCACTCATGTGTGCAATTCAAGAAACAAAATCAGCAATGGAAAAATGAGACAATCAGAAAGTCTCTAAATACAGAGAACAAAATGGTGGTTGCCAGCAGAGAGGTGATGGGAGTATGAGTGAAATGGATAAAGGGAATTAAGAGTACACCTAATCTAGATGAGAACTGAGTAATGTATAGAATTGTTGAATCATATCGTACACGTGAAACTAAGATAAAACTGTGTGAAGTACACTTAATTAAAAAATAAAAAAGTACACAGATAACAAGGAAACGTGAAAAATTCTTAGTATCATTAATCATTAGGAAAATGAATATGAAAGTTACAATAAGAATATAAATATACTGAAGTCAGTTGCATTTCTATACAGTAGCAGTGAATGCTAGATTTTAGTATTTAGAGTATCCAAAAGGAAATTAGGAAAGCCATTCCACTTATGATAGTATTGAAGAGTAGATACAGGGAAATAAATTAAGAAAAAAGAGCAAGACTTTTACAATAAAAACTGCAAAATATCATTGAAAGCAATTACAGAAGGCTAAAATCAATTAAAAATCATCCTCTGTTAATAGGGAAATAGAGAAGTGACTACATAGATACAGATTATTGTTAGAGTGTAATGAAAGTGTTCTAGAATTAGAAAGTAGGTAAGTTGATTGATTTGTGGATATTGAACCATTCTTGCATTCTGGTAGTAATTCCACTTGGATCTTGGTGAGTGATTATTTTAATGTATTGCTGAATTTGGTTTGCTAATATTTTATTGATAATTTTTGCATCTGTATTCATCAGTGATACTGGCCTTTTTCTTTTCTTTTGTAATGTCTTTGTGTGTTTTATGCTGGCCTCATAGAATGAATTTGGATTGTGTTAGTATTGATTATTTTGTTTATGTTTGTTTATAGTTGCTTTATGTATTTGGGTTCTTTCATTTTGGGTGCATAAATATTTGCAATTCTTGTGTCTTCTTGTTGGATAGTGTCATTTTTTTTAAGTTTGTTTATTTATTTTGAGAGAGAGAGAAAGAGAACGCGATCAAGCACGAGTTGGGTAGGGGCAGACAAAGAGGGAGAGAGAGAATCCCAAGCAGGTTCCACACTGTCGTTGCAGTGCCTGACATAGGGCTCGAACCCACAAACCACAGGGTCATGACCTGAGCCGAAATCAAGTCAGACACTTAACCAACTGAGCCACCCAGTGGCCCCTACAGTCTTTGTTTTAAAGTGTATTTTGTCCAATTTAACTGTTGCTACCCCAGCTTTCTTTTCTCTTCCATTTGTATGAGAAATGTTTTTCCATCCCCACACTTCTAATCTGCATGTGTTTTGGGGTCTAAAAGGAATCTCCTCTGGCTACATATAGATGGGTCTTGGTTTTTCATCCCTTCTGTCACCCTTTGTCTTTTTATTAGAGTGTGATTCCATTCACAATAAAGTAATTATTGATAGGTATATTCTTTTTTATTATTTATTTTTTTTAATACATCCAAGTTAGTTAGCATATAGTGATTTCAGGAGTAGATTCCTTAATGCTCCTTACCCATTTAGCCCATCCCCCCTCCCACTACACCTCCAGCAACCCTCTATTTGTTCTCTAAGAGTTTCTTCTGTTTTGTCCCCCTCACTGTTTTTATATTATTTTTGCTTTCCTTCCCTTGTGTTCATCTGTTTTGTGTCTTAAAGTGCTCATATGAGTGAAATCGTATGATATTTGTCTTTCTCTAACTAATTTTGCTTAGCATAACACCCTCTGGTTCCATCCACGTAGTTGCAAATGACAAGATTTCATTCTTTTTGATTGCCGAGTAATACTCTACCACATCTTCTTTATCCATTCATCCACCGATGGACATTTGGGCTCTTTCCGTACTTTGGCTATTGTCGATAGTGCTGCTATAAACATGGGGGTGCCTGTGTCCCTTCGAAACAGCATACCTGTATCTCTTGGATAAATACCTAGTAGTGCAATTGCTGGGTCGTAGGTAGTTCTATTTTTAATTATTTTTAATTTTCTATTTTAAAACCTCCATACTGTTTTCCAGAGTGGTTGCACCAGTTTGCATTCCCACCAGCAGTGCCAAAGAGATCCTATCTCTCCGCATCCTCACCAACATCTGTTGTTGCCTGAGTTGTTAATGTGAGCCATTCTGACAGGTGGAAAGTTGTATCTCAGTGTGATTTTCATTTGTCTTTCCCTGATGATGAGTGACGTTGGGCATTTTTTCATGTTGGTTGGCCATTTGGATGTCTTCTTTGGAGAAGTGTCAATTCATGTATGACATTACTTTAAGTTCTCTATCAAGCATATTATCTCCCTTTCCTTTAGGTGTCTTTCTATGATTTCATCCTGTTCTTTCATTTGGGATGGATTCCTCTATGTCCTTATTTTGTCTAACTCTCTGTGTCTGTTTCTGTGTATTAGGAAAGTTGGCTATGTCTCCTGCTCTTGAAACTAGTGTCCTTATGAGGAAGAGGCCCTGGCGTGTCCTTCCAAGGTGTCTCCCACGTGTGTTGTGTGTGTCCTTTTGTGGCCGAGATCCCTTTGCCTTCAGGCCAGTCGTCTGCAGAGGCTGTCTTTGCCTGTTGTGGGCCGGGTGTGGTCCCTGTGTTCTTAATGAGCCAGTCTGGGGCACCTTTGGCTAGAGTTTGGTCGGACCGGTTGTTTCCCAGAGCTGCAGTAGTGCCGAAGTACAAGGCACTGGGCCAGCCTTGTCCCCCCCAGGTTTCATCGGAGGTGGGCCTGCAGTCAGCCCAGGTGTCTGCCCCCAGCCCACTGCCAGGGCTGCAGTCGAAGCTGAAGGTGTGTTTGGTTATCTTTTCTTCTCCCCAGGGCAGCAGTCACTTGGAAGTGTCACTGGCCCTTGTCAGCGCTGCCGTTGCGGTGTCCTGCTTGTGACGGTGCGGCAGACGGACTCAGGCTGAGGGCCGGTTGGCTGGAGCACGGCCGCCAGTGAGCTCAGCACGGGAGGTGCACCGTTAGCCAGCTAGGTGGGGGTGTTCTCACTCATCCCCACTGTGGGAGCGTCTGTGTGCATGCGGAGGAGAGAAGGGGTGCCCACCAGATCTTTCATTCTTGGAAAAGTTTCCTGAACACTCCTGCCCGTCCTGCACATGTTCACAGATTAGCACTCTCCACACTCCTTACGGAAGTGCCGAGTTGAACAATCAAGACTTCCACATCAGTGGAGTGTAGTAACCTGACTGACACACAGGGTAGCTAACTACCCTGACACTAATATTGCTAACTCTCTCTGTTACGTGTTGCTACATAGCAAATTGCCATAAAACTGAGTGGTATAAATGACCAGAATATATAGCGTCTCAGTCTCTGCAGCTCAGGAGTCTTCGTGTGACTTAGCGAGTACTCGGGTCTCCTGCACCTCCACAACCAGGAGGGCTGGAGGGCTGTGGTCCTCACAGCTGCCAAGGGCATCAGCAGCCTGGCTGTTGGCGGGCCTCTGGGCCCTACTGATGGGGGACTGATCATATGTCCATGGATGTCTCCATAAGCAGGCTCACAGCCTAGCAACTTTTTCCCCTAGAGCGAGCACGGGAGAGAGAGAGAGAGCACAGAAGCTACAGTATGTTGTAATGTAATCTCAAAAGTGGCATCCCATCCCTTTCGCTGTATTCTTCCATCAGAATCCAGTCACTGGAACCAGTTCATCCTCCCGCTGAGGGGGTTTCACCAAGGCATGTGTGCCAGCTGGCGGGGATCGTTGGGGGTGTCTGCAGTAACATACCATTTAGGTAATAAGCCAGGAAAAGAAGCTGTCTTTCTACAGGAAGAAATCAGAATACTGAAGAGTGTGAAAGCCTGGTGTATCAATTACTTATTGCTACCTAGTAAATGATCCCTAAACTTAATGGCTGAAAACAAGAAGAATCGACGTATTTAGCTCATGAATGTAGAGTTTTGGCAGGATCTGGTGGGGCAGGCTTATCTCTGGTCCGTGTGACACCAGCTGCGTCTGCTCAGCCTGGACCCAGAGGATCTTCTTGCAAGATGTCCATTCACAGGCTGGCATGTCGTTGCTGATGAGTGGCTGGGAACTCCGCAGGACGATGGATGGAGACACTGTCACTCCTCGTGGGGGCATGTCTCCGTGGGCCTCTCCGTTCGGGCCGCTTCACTCCCTTACGGCGTCGTATCTTGGTTCTGAGATGGTATGCCCCACGACACAGACGATGAAAGGTGCTCATCGTGAGGCCTGGACCTGGAAACCACGACATGGCATCACTTGTGCCTCATCCTGCCTGCCAGCTTGCCGCTGAGCTCGTCCTCACACTGGGGGACACTGACCTCACTGTCGACGGGAAGGTACCGAAATCTGCATCAGTTGTCTTGCCATATGACAAATTCCACCAAAATCTCCTGGGTTAAACATTATTTTAAAAATTCATTTATTTTCAGCTTAAAAACCTGAAATTTGGGTGGGGCTTGGTGAAGAAAGCTTGTCTGTTCCACACAGCTCCGTCACAGGTCTGGCAAGTCTGTGCCGGCTGGAAGCAGGAAACCTCAGCCCGTCGCCACATGGGCCTCTCCAAAACTTGGGCTTCACCAATGGTGGATGGCTTCCAAGCTGAAAAGTCTGAAAAGACAGAAAATACAAGCAATCGATTTCTTGAGGCCTGGTCCCGAAACTGTACATGAAACTGCTGCTGTGGTCACAGGACCCCCGTTTGAGGAGAGGAGCGCCCAGGTCAGGCCTCAGTGGGAGACGTGTCGAAGGACTTGGAGTCATGTTAAACTCCCCACACCTTCAAAGCACAGTTCCGGCACTTCTCTGGCACGTTCCTGAGAAGGCTCACTTTACACGTGGAAGGTAACGGAACCACATGTTTCCGAAGGTCGTCCTGCACCCTGAATTCCCATCGTCATGTTTGTGTTCCATGCATTGTTGATACATTCTACAGTGTTTTTTCTCAACTACACAATCAGTGTTCTGGGGTGTGACATCGATGTTCTCTCCTTATCGCTCAAGTTCAGAAGTTTGAGTGATGTTTTTATCATGTTTGCAAAGTCCAGCAAACCCTCACAGAAGAGGTGTGATAGGACGAACATGAACTAACTTATATTGTGCAGGAAAGAAGTGTACACAGTGGAGAATGAGGTCAGATGTTAAACGGAAAACTGATGTAGAATGGTTTTATTTACTTATTTAACTTTAATTTAGAGTACTTTTTAAATGTCTTCTCTTCTGAGTGTGGTTTTGGGATGGAAGTTCTATTATATTTTGTTCTGTTTATAGTTTAAGGAATGTCTGTAGGAGCCAAGACTTGTTAAACATTCTTGACCACTGATAAAATGAACTTGTCGGATTTGATGTGACTTCTTTCTGGACTAAGTATTGTCGTGGGACAACTGGCTTGCTGCTCTGTATCTGCCTGTTGATGCTTTTATTCTTTCAAGAATTTTTACTTTAAAGAATCTCTTTTGAGAGAAACAAATGAATCCATTCTGTGCCATTCATTTTTACTGTGATAAGAGAAAAAAAGACATATTGCAAGAAAATAAATTCATGACACACATAATGTGGATTATGCCAAAACATTTTCCCCCTCACACCGCTGTTGAAAGGTCTTGTATATGTAACACTGGAGCCTTTTTCTGTTTCAGTGTCCTGTGGCATGGCAGAGCAGGTGGGAAGGCCCAGAAGACCCCTTACAGTACCTGAGAGGCCTAGTGGCTCGTGCCCTTGCGATACAGGTAAGGGTCCATTGGTCAGTGACCCCGGTGTCTGACGCGGTGTTACAGACATGGGTATGGAGATCACATGTGTGCGACAGCTGGTGAGAGTGATTTTGTACGCGAAGCACCGCACATTCATTTCTCATTCCGTCGTCAGGGTTTATGTAGCATTCTTTAAAAATAACGAGTAATGAGGGAACCATGAGTTCTTATCAACAGGGATCTCTAATTTGGGGGGAAGGAGATAGATTAAAAAAAAAACAAATAAATAGATTACTATTAGAATTCATGAAAAAAAAATCTTGGCCCAAACCCTGAGATTTAAGATGAATATACAGCTAAACCTTAAACCGTTGTCATGATCCTAGAATGAACGTAGGGTACATAACTGAAATACTACCCAGTAAAATAGAGCTATTACTATAGCGATAGCATCACGGGATTTTAGGAGTTAAATTTTGTACAGGGACGGTAGCGTCTCAACACTTTCAGCTCATAACTTCTGCGTGCGCTCAGCTGGCTTGCACATCTGGAGTAGTAAGTGGCAGTCTGTGGTCTGTGATGATCTGCAGTTTTAGGGAAGCAGTCCTATCCACTGTGCTATTTGTGCACAAGATAAGCCTTGGTTCTAGAAATGTGACAATACAGCAGCCTAATTGGCTTTCAGGACAACAAAGTCTTCCCTGAATTTTTGTCTGCATCTCGCTCTTACCACACGCATACCAATCTCAGCAGCTCGCTGGACTGGCATAATGAGCAGATGTTGACAGCAGCAAACAGGCAGAGGATGTTTAAATGGCAAGCGTGGTCGTGGCAAACTGTCCCCCTGCAAGTACCCAGTGAGTGCTGGTAAGGTCAGTAACCTGGGCACCCGTACCAGTCAGGACTTCTCTGGGCGTCTCAAGTCTTGGGTCATATCTGCCAGAGCCCAGGTTATTAGTTGCATAGCAAGACAACTCCAGAGTGTGATCCGCGTCCTGTAGCTCTGTGACCTGCCATGGAATGGCGGTGCGCTGACCCGACGTGTTGGGGTCTCGGTGGTTTCTTCCCCTCCCACCTGGTCATTGTCACAACCCCTCCCGACTTTGCACGCATGCTCCAGTTGGCCATCTTCCCGGGAGGGCCCACGTGGAACGGGGCGGGACGCCGCAATGCAAATGATGGAGCCACCTGCGGGTGGGTTTCCTTGAGTGCCCTGCTCACATTGCCGTCTGTCCTTGTGGCCCAGTCTTCTGGGTCAGCCGGGGCTGTGCGGCCGGAGGGGGCGTGGCCGGCAGGTGCCCGGGGGGTGGAGGGGGTGCTGCTGCAGTTGGAGGCTGTCCCATCTGACAACGCAGGACAACACCCCAGGGGGCTGGGAGCAAAACTCCAGACGTTGGCTCCTGACCCCATGACAGCTTTCCCTGTATTTGTCAGTGGTGGTGACCCGACGACAGGATCCTGGCTGTGCCTCTTGCCTGGGTCACTGTGCTCTGCTGTGCTCAGTTCTTCACGGCTGCAGACTCCGGGGCAGGCGAGGGAAGTGGGCATCCGCGCTGGTGTGAGTGCACCTGCCCCCCCTTGAAGGACGCTGGGTTGTGCACGCCCACCAGATTGGGGTTGCACACGACACATGCCCACCAGATCAGGGTTGCGCACGACACCCGCCCGCCAGATTGGGGCTGCACATGACAAGCGCCCGCCTGAGTGGGATTGCGCACGACATACACCCCCCGATGTGGTTTCGCCCGTGAGCCTGTGATATTGGGGTGGCACATGACGCACTCCCACTTAATTGTTGCACACGCCACACGCCCATCTAATTGTGGTTGGACACTGGGGGCGTGGACTGTGCAGTGGTACTACCACTAACACTACTCCTGTGTGCACAGTGCACACAGTTCAGGAAAGCGTTCTCAGTAATACAGTGTCTAGGAAGAACCTGGACGTAACATCCACTCCTTAAGTAAATCTGCAAACTCCTTTTGTACTCCTGTCCTGGAAACGCTACTTGAATGACGTGTGAAGCTTTTTTTTTTTTTAACCTTCCTGGATTTTTAAAACCTCAGTAGAAAATTTTCCCAAATAAGTATTCTTTTAATGTCCGTTCTGTGAAATCTTACTAAGTGAGAAAACATTTGGTGGGTCTCATTTCTTCTTTTTCTTTTCTCTTTTTGTGTTTCAATTGAAGATGACTTCTGTTAGATATTCTGGTAACAATAGGAGACGTTTTCCTCCTCGGGAAACTTTAAGGCAGCACAGCTGAGGGCCATTGTTCTGTTTCCTCTCAGATGGGTCGTAGCCCCAGCTAGGACCTCCTCTCGAAGGACTCGTGCTTAAAGACAACTCGCTCACCTAGAATTCACTTTTTTTCTTCAGTGTTTTATTTAATGTTGCAGGTGCAAATATGTCAAACAATTTTACAAAGATTTGGATTTCACCATAGCCAAACAGGTATACCATACTTTGTTATTACATTTTTATTAATACTTTTTTCCTAAAATGCTTCCAACATTATTCCTATGCTTATCTAGCGGTTGCATTCTCTCTTTAGATTTCTATTATCATCCTGTTTCTCCCCTTACTGAAATACAGAGTTCTTAATCTCTTCCCATAACATGAATAGTTTCACAGTCATTATTTTTAAAATTTTATTCTTGCAACAAGTACATATTTATACTTGAGACCAAGAATTTCAACCTATAGAGCAGATAAGAGGTTATTTTCACTCCAAGTGTCATATAAAATGCCTGATCCATATACAATGGTAAATAAAGTAAAGTAGATCTAAATGTCATGGCTGGTTGGCATTAATAACATCACACTTACTAGATTAGTAACATCTGTGCTTTACAAACACGAGTGTTCATTTCTGGGATGTCAGGAATTGTTTACAGTCGGCATCTACTTACTCGGATTACCAGAGAGTGAAGGCAAGTAATAGATCTTAGCCAAATATTAAAGTGGAACTGATCCGTATTTCCAATTAATATTAGGATGCTCTGAAGAAGATTGGTGTCAGTTAAGGGAGCTGGAAGGTGAGTGGGTCGGAGAGGGTGGAGCCAGTGTGCTCAGGTGAGGCCTCTCTTAGGAGGGGACGTGTGAACAGAGGCTTGAGCTGAGTGAGAAGGCAAACCGTGGGTGTGCCAGAGAGAAAAGTCTAGGCGGACGAGCCAGCACGTGCAGAATCTGGGACAGGAATGGGCTTTGCTTACCTAAGGAATAAAAGGCCCAGTCCACGTGGCTGGAGCGTGTCAATGAGGTGTTGAGACTAGACCTGAGGGGCACCTGCACGGAGGGCTGCTGGGTTCCGCCAGCAGGTGCACACGGTCTTCGACATATCTTCTTTAAGTTTCGTTATTTGTAGTGCATGCATCAGACGTGCTTGATTTAGTTGTTCATGGAGTCCCCCAGACGCCACTTAGTTATCAAAAGAGAACTGTTTTATCCAGTTTTTCCCTAAAGTAATCCATTTGAAGAATACAATTGCCTTAATTTCAACCACATAATCAGTGAGTCGAGCACTATTGATAAACCAAGTCACACTGAATTTTATGTTTATCAAATATTCCTCACATACATAAATTATGATTAGAAATTATAGTTGTTATCACATATGACTAGAATATTTGTAATTAAAAATAATCTTAATGGGCATGATTATGGTAAAAAAATAAATTTTCTGATTTTTGAACTTTCATTTAAAAACAGTATTTTTAAGTTTCATCTAAAAACAAATTGAAGCCATAATTTTACTCACTGAATTCTATTTTTGTCTTGAACTCTAAGATTTTCTTATATAAGACATGGCAATTTATAAGCTCAGTTTTTTCCTAAATAAGAAAATAAGCTATCAAGTATCATTTTTATAAACATACATATATTCAAAGCCACCAACTAAAAGACAAAAATTATCAGATTGGAGAAAATAAAATTGAAATATGACTGCTATAAGGCATCAAGGCATTGCCCTTTAAATATAAAGACACAAATAGATTAAAAGTAAAATTATAGAAAAACTATGCCATGATCACATTAGTCAAAAAACCCCAAAACAGCAACAAAAACATTTAGCTGTCTTAATATCAGGCAAAACAGGTTTCACAGAAAAGAATATAACAGGAGATAATGAAGATTATTTTATAATGATAAGGTGATCAAATTATGAAAATAACAATGCTAAACATTCCATTTCTAATAGTTTCAAAATACATGCAGCAAGAACTGATAGAAATGCAAGGAGAAATAGGTAAATCCATCATTAAAGTTGGAGATGGCAGAACATTGCTCTCAGTAATTGAATAAGAGGCAGAAAATCAGTAATCTAAGAGTTGAACAGCATTTAATTAACTTAATAAAAATGGAACATTACATCCAACATCAACAGAATATACAGTCTTTTCTAATGCAGAACATTTACCAAGGTAGATCATAGATCAGGTGTCCAGTAATCTAAATGGATTTAAGCCACACAGATATGCTTTCTGCTCACCTGGTGATTTGAAAAATTTATGCATTATGCACAGTGTGGCTGCCATCTGTCCCACGTTCTTGTTACAGTATCCTGAACTGTATTCTCTAGGCTTTGCCTTTACTCCTGTGACTTACTCATTGCATAAGTGGAATCCTGTACCTCCCTCTCCCCCTCTCCCAACTTGCCCATCCCTAACATCCCTGGAAGCTGTCAGTTCTACGTATTCATAGGTCTGATTCTGCTTTTGTTGGTTTATTCATGTGTTTGTTTTCTTTATGTTTAACTTATGAGCAGAATCATATGGTATTTGTGTTTTTCGATCTGACTTATTTCACTTAGCATGATACCCTCTAGGTCCATCCATGTTGTTGCAAATGGCAAAATCTCATCCTTTTTATGGCTGAGTAATATTCCCCTCTGTGTGTGTGTGTGTGTGTGTGTGTGTGTGTGTGTGTGTGTGTGTGTGCGCACGCGCGCGTGTTCATGCATGCACATGCATACATCTTCTTTATCCATTTACCTATTGATGGACACTTAGGTTACAACCATGTCTTGGCTATTGTAG